GTTCACTGTGGGTGTCGCGGAGGAACGCGACCCCGCACTCACTCGTGTAATGGCGGGCGCACTAGAGCACGCTCACAAAATGGCGGACACAACAGTGCCCCTTTATGTCACAGCTGCCCATCATGAGTCAAGTCAAGTCACAATTGATCTTCCTGAGTCAAGTCAACTCACAGCTCATCTTCCTGAGTCAAGTCAAGTCATAGCTTCCATTGCTGAGTCAAGTCAAGTCTCAGCTGATCTGCCAGAGCCTCGTCACGTCACAGCTGATCTCCCAGAGCCTCGTCACGTCACAGCTGATCTCCCAGAGCCTCGTCACGTCACAACTGATCTCCCAGAGCCTCGTCATGTCTCAGCTGTTTGTCCAGAGGCTCATCACATCTCAGGTGATCTTCTAGAGTCTCGCCATGGCACAGCTGATCTTCTAGAGTCTTGTCACGTCTCAGCTGTTCATCCAGAGTCACGTCACGTCTCAGCTGATCATCCAGAGTCATGTCACATCACAGCTGATCATCCAGAGTCACGTCACATCACAGCTGATCATCCAGAGTCACGTCACATCACAGCTGATCATCCAGAGTCACGTCACATCACAGCTGATCATCCAGAGTCACGTCACATCACAGCAGATCATCCAGAGTCACGTCACGTCACATCACAGCTGATCTTCCAGAGTCTTGTCACGTCACATCACAGCTGATCTTCCAGAGTCTTGTCACGTCCTGTTTGCTGCACCCAGATTATCAAGGTCAGTCCTTCGGTATTCCAGTCTGTGAATCCCCTGCCTGCCTTGTTAGGGCTATGGAGGCCAATTATAGACTTTTGTCCTGTTCCGATCCAGCCGAGGAGGCTGGTTGTGAACACTCTGTCTTGCCAGTCCCAGTCAATGAATCTAAATATGAACTCTCTACCCGTGTTGTCTCCACAAACATCTCTGTTGAATCATCCGTCTTGTCTATCCCGGTCAGTGAGTCAAATTATGAGCTGTCACCTTGCTCAGTCTCTCCAAGTGTGTCAACTGTTGAACCGTCTCTCTGTCTAGTCAGTCCAGTTCACATCAATGCTCATGATTCTGAATTGTGTGTAAATGTGTCTGATGATGATGTTCCTGTCTGTCCAGTTTCCGCCAATGACCCCGAGTGTGAACTGTTAGTTCGTCCAGTTTCAGATTTTGCTAATGAAATGTCTATCAGTTCAGTTTCAGTCCATGAGCTTAATGTTGAATCATTTGTCTGTTTAGTCTTGCCTAGTGTGTCTGGTTTCAAAGTGTCTGTTCTGCCGGATTCAATCCGTGAGTCGAATTACGAACCATCAGTCTGTCCTATTTCCCCACATGTCTCAGAGCTTGAACTGTCTGTCAC